CACACTCTACCGTCAGTCTGCCGTTCTTTCCCCTTAACAGCTCAACGCTGTATGCTCCACTCGGCGCATCTCTCAGCTCTGCTGAGGGAGCTGGTGGAAAGGGAGCTGATGGGCGGCATCTGACGGAGGTCAACACTCATCTGGCTAGGGACTGCATTGTAGCTGTGCCAGCCAAATGATGAGTGCGGTTATGGGCCTATGACGTCCGGGCCTGTTTCGAGGAATACGGAAGTCTGTCCAGCTTCTCATTAATTCCTCAGGTGCCCAGGCACCGGCAAACGTTAAGTTGCCGACTGCTGGGGTTTACTTTATTCTGCCGCAAACCCCGGTCGGAGCGACACACGCCAGTGTCGGCTTCCCGGAAGACGGCGAAAATACTCCGTGCCGAGATCCAGTCTCTGCTGGGCAAGGCAACCAGCGTGGTTGTTTCCAGTGGTCAGGAAAATGTGGGGTTTGACTCCATTTATTTCCTCGTTGCCATTAAGAACGGAATGTTCAGATCCATTCTCATCTGAGAGCTGAACAAGTTAATAGAGGTACTGTCCTTCAAGATGGAGACACCGCGCTCGGTGATCTCATCTGTCGAGACAGGGGATTGGCGCACGTCAATCGACCTCAAGGTCGTGTACCTCCTTGTTCCATTGCACCCTGATTTCAAGATTTACCTTCGGTTCTTGTTTGACGGGACGTACTACCAGTTTCGTGTGCTCCCCTTAGACTACATTTTGGCACCAAGGGTGTTCACCAAATTGAGGTTTATTACAGATCAGATAGCCAGATCGCAGTGCCGGTGTTGTCACCCGTACCTAGGCGACTGGCTCATCGTGGTTTTAGAATAACTGTTGAGTCTGGAGACCTCACGATCAGTGTTGGTCAATCTTACGAAACTAGGCGGAATTGTCAACCTCACGCAGTCAGATGGATAGACGTCAGGCGTCTCTCCGAGGGGCTCCCCCTGGAGACACCGTCGCTCTCAGTCCAGCCAGATACATCCCTACCGGGTTAGGGCGATGTTCTGGGTGACCTGCAGTCTCTTGACGATGAAGTCACAACCTGCACATCAATGTGGTGGAATTGACAGCAGTCAGGTTGGTGTTCGATCCCGCACGCCGGGATTCGAATTACCTTTCGGCCAGACATTCTCACTCTGAACGGGGCACCACATCCGAATCATCGGATTCACTGGGTGGCTTGGCCTCTGTCGGGTATAACGCCCAGACACGCGGAATTCCTGCAACCGTTGCAGACACAATTCTGGCTTTGAGTCGGGATTCGACACCCGTTCAGTGTGTTGATAGGTGGGGCGCGCTGGTGTGCAGATAGGTGGATTTCATAATCCCTATTCTGCGGATTTAGTTCAGATATTGGAGTTACTATAACCTCGTTTTGGTTGAGAGCCTTATGACCTCCACCATTCCCGGGTACTCCATGGCTATTTCCACGTTTCACACCTCGTTCGATGGTGCTCTGCCTAGGCAGCACCCTCTCGTACATCGGTTTGTAGCTGGCATGAACAGGTTCGACCGCCTCGGCGGCGACCAAGCCCACCTTAAAATTGCCAATTATTCTCAATTGGCTGTCTGGCCCTGACTTTTCAAGTATATCTTCTCTCTCACTTCACTTGTTGACGTGGAAGACGGCTTTACTTGTTGTGGTGAGCTCTGGTAGAAGGGTCGGGTACATCCATGCGATACCCACTGACCCGACACTGACAGTATTTTATACTGATCATGTCCGTATTCGTCTCCCGGATACCTACCACTCTCAGTTCGATATTGCTTTCCACGTGACTGCTCATATCGCACTTCCACCCCTTACCCAGCCTTCCACACCAGGGACCAATCTTTCCATTGCTCACCCGTGACTGTAACGAACGAACGAATGAACAAAAGGGATCCGTACCGGTACCCATGTGTTCTGTTTGGTGGGGGGAAGACTGGGAAGTCTGCTAGCAAGCGAACTTTATCTCGTTTGCTTGTTTCCGTAATTGTTCGGTTACAATGCTAAGGTTTACCGTCCCCCGAGGGGTTGACGGCAGACTGGGTAGGGCAGATGCCGCTTTGTTGGCAATACACAGCGGCACTGCTCAATGAAGAGATCGGTTCTGTCGCTCTTTGGAGCTGGCAGAACACCTTCATTCGCCATTACCGACTTGACACGCATTCTAACGATCGTTTTTGGTTCGGTCTTTCGGCTCTCTCCAGTGGAGAGTGTCCTGCCACCCTGACCAAGTTAGTAACTGGTCATTTGTATCGGTTCTGTGTTCAATGTCGATATATTTCATATCACTACATCGTATTAGCCTTACCACCCTTTCGGGTTGGGTCGGGTTTGGGTGTACATATGTCCCTTACGTCCTCTTCAAGAGCGGGGTCCGTTTTGAACGCTTTAACCAGTCATATGCTATTAACCCGTCTTGCGACGGAATTGGGTACGAACCCCCCATGGGGCACTGTTTGGTATGCCTCTCTTCGAGCCGCATGTCACGTGACCAGGTTAGTGTAATGGTGAGCCAACACATGTTCGGCTACGCTTTTCGCTATTCAGGGGATTTTTGTACGCTTACAGTTTTTTCCCTCTTCCCGAGACTTCGGTATTTGGGAGTCTGTGTTAATCAGCTTTGTGGGATGGTGGTCTACACTTACCCTCCTCACGCCGAGAGTGTTTGGTGGGGGTGTTTTATCCTGTTTTTCACTCGTACAATGCATGGCGTTTGTACTCGTTCGATTTCCTCAGAAAGTTTTTAGCGAGGCTAATAATTTCTCTGGGTTTTATCGAGGTCCCGGCAAGCCCTCTTCCAAACAGGAGGGGTGCATTCGAGCATTAGTTTGCAGTACTTATTAGCTCGACTCCTGGGTTATTGGCTTTTTAGCGTTTAAATTTTTACGCTTTCCCTACCCTTATACCTCTCGCCACGCTTCTCTGGCTGGGGCTATATTAGGGTTGGGAGTTGTTTCGGCATGTCCCCATACATTCCTTTCCATTGTAATGGTTGGGGGTGGGGTTTTATGTCATACTTGATTTGAGCCAATTGACATATAAGCTTGGGCTCTCTAGTTCACGCCTCCGTCTGATTGGCATCAGCGGTCAGGTGGCTCGGTAAGTGTTTTTTCTATTTCCGTATCAGTTGTAGATTTCACTCCACCACGGGTTTAGTTGTTGCCAGACAGAATGCCACTCCCGTCTCAAAGATCTTTGGGAGTCTGTCATATGCTTATATGTACCCCAAGGAGGACTTCTTCTGAAAAAACCTGTAGAGGTTATGAATTCTTTGAAGAAAGTCCTCCTTGGGCTACGGCGTCCTGCCTCCCCTCATTCTGTCTGACACGTTCAGCATGAAAAGTGAGGTACGAGGTAGACGGCGAGAGTTACCTGCTCTTGGCTGTAGGGGGTCCGGTGGGGCCCTGTAGGGGTGGTCTCACAAGACAAAAACGAGTTTTTTGTTTTGTAAATATTTTATTAAAAAATATAGTTACAACTGTCGTAGGATTTAAAATGGACATTTAAATGCTTATATGTACCCCAAGGAGGACTTTCTTCAAAGAATTCATAACCTCTACAGGTTTGTATAAATTTTGTCTGATTTTTCACGTTTTTACGTGAGTGTTCAGATTGTTTACAAGTTGATGAAATCTTGTATTCTTTGCAGGTACAGATTGTCTGCTGTTGATCCACACATATTATGTCCTAACTGCAAGCCTGCGTGTTCTTCCAGCATTCGTTGTCGGTTGTGTTTTCACCTGTCCAATTTTGAATTTAATAATTATTCATATTATCTGTTTAGACGTGCAAGGGACAAATCCAGTTTTACAAGACATGTCTAAACCGGCTAAGCTTGCAGAGGACTGTCAGTTGGTGTCTGTGCAGATTCACCATTCCAGTAGTCTACCGGGGTCATCAACGGAGGATGTTGCTGTCTTAGACATCAACTCTTGCTCGAGGAAGAGATCTGTTACATCTCTAAGAAGACTAAGGCATCATCTTCCCAGAGGAAGAAGTTTACTGTATCTAAGACTTCGTCGAAGGCTCCTTACGGGGCAACGCAGAAGTCAAGGTCCTTCTCAGCTGAGATCGTCCCCCTTGAGGAAGTAGATGTCTACGATGAGCCTCCCATCCTCATCCCTGAGATCACGACTAAGAAGAAGACGAGAGCTTCTTCTACCGTGACATCTGCAGCCATCTCTACGGCAGACAACACATCAACGCAGACATCGGGTTCCAGAGAGATACTACGACCTTTGGAGGAAGCCTCACTCTCAGATGCGTCATCCCTGCATCAGCAGTCAGCGCAGAACTTCAACCCGGGCGCCTTTATGCAGCAATTCACCCAGCAGATGTTGGACCTAATGGAACAACGGTTTGCACAGGAGAGAGCTGCGACGAAGACGCCGTCAACGACGAACCTGCGTGAAGGACAACCGATCTGCGCTCCACGTCCCGTGGAAACTAACAACCTACGAAGCCTCCACGATGATTCCAGCATGTCTACGACGTCCGCACGAAGGTCCGACGAACCTACCAGCGCGGAACCTGCACCAGTTACGTTCGGCGAACCCTCAAGGAAAAGACGTTAGCCGAACCTACGCAGATCTTCATCTATCTCAGATGCTAACAGTCATCACGAACCTACATGCAAGAGTTCGTCATCAAGGAGAAGAGAATCTACACCTGCGCGAAGGCTTAGAGATTCGTTGCAAGACGCCAACCCTCGTCAAGGCCGCTCACCTTTTAGTTTTTCTAGCTTAATAAATATGTAGGTTTGAGCATATTTTACTGCACATAAAATATGCTTGAACTTCCACTGCAGAAAAAAACATCCCTAGCTTGATGTGGAACAAGGTTGTGGAATAATGGAACATGTCTCATAGTATCAGTCACTTGATCGTCTGATCCAGATTAAATTCATGGCAGGCCTTCGTCATATAGCTGGAATTTTGCAGCAGTGTTAACCAAGAAACCTATGATGTTAAACTTGTTCAGGCATTTGTTTCCTATTTCAGGTGGTCTCCACCTGCGTCATTGAAGATGGCGTCTGCTTCTTGCTGAGGGTGTGGGACGGAACCAAACCCATCTAGTAGGTGTTTGTATTTTCATCTTCTTTAGAATTTAATGAAAATATTCACATAATTTTCATTAAAACACAATCTGGATCTTACACTCCTGGGTTTAAGTTTCAGCTAGTTGTTAACTGAAAAGTTCTGACTGTCAGAGTATATGTCCCTGAAATACCAGTACACAAACTATTGTGCAATCAGCCGTCGCCAGTCTCGGTTAAGTCCAAGTGGTTCAGAAAGGCTACATCTAGTGGGAAGATTTCACAGCATTTATGAAATGTTGGGATGGATCTGTTTCTGTAAACCCATGTAATGCAAATACTTTCTTTGTTATCAGATTAGCACATTGCAACACTTCTTTCACATGACGGTTTAAAAATTGATACTGTAGATACAAATCAATGGATAGACAAACTGCATTGTATTGTCAGCGTCAGTCCACTAGGCATGAATTCCGTGGTGAGTGTTTACACCCTTTCTCTGAAGAACATTGAACACTGTGACTTACATTCCAGCCCTGTACGTGAGTTGGACACTGAAGGAAGTGAGTGTGATGTGGCCTCAGATTCACGTCTGCTGCAGAGAGCAGACGGACATTTGTATGATGTCTGCGTGTTTGATGACCACTTCTGTACAGCCAGCAGGGCCAAGGTTAGATTGGGACATGGTTGTATATCTCCTGTCTGTAGTAGATACACTATATCTCCTGTCTGGCGGTTTGTACCACATCTCCTGTCTGTAGTAGATACACTATATCTCCTGTCTGTAGTATTTACATCATATATCCTGTCTGGAGGATATGTACTATATCTCCTATCTGTGGCACACACTTTATGTGTCATGTCTCTGGTACATACACAGATAGAAGCATGAGAACAATCAAGGTCTGTGACAAGGTCTGCATCTGTGATATCTGATATAGAGTCTATCTGATCATGTCATCATACTATCTTCTACTATGCGTTGTATTTTTACTGCCTGATGATATCTTGCATTGTGCATGTGATATCTGTCATGCAGTGTTTCTGTGACTGATATCCTGCTTAGAATGTGAAGGTGATATCTTCTAGCAAGGAGTGTTCCTGTGTCTCAGACAAAATATGTTTTAGAGCTTGTGGAGGTGATATCTATAGCTTGGAGTGTCATATATCATGTAGCATTTAGTGTTTCTGATCATGTGACTGTGATATCATCTGTGTACCAGTTTTGATGCAAGTATTCTAAATAAATGTGATGTTTGTACACTTACAGCCAGGCATGTTTTTGAAGTTCTACAACCTCCACGCTGCTGAGTACAAAAGTGGAGACAACTGCGACAGTCTGTCGGCCCTCCCAACAATCGAACTTGTGTTACATCGCGGGACAATGTATGGCAGAGGGTTATTATTTTTAGATGCAATAATCAGCGGGATGTGAAACTACTACAAGATAAACTGAATGAAATTGCTCCCCTGGAGCTCAGCTGCCCTCTACAAGTGGGCAGAATAAAGGGAGACAACTTGACTCAACATCCACACAAAAGGGAGTGGGGAGTAATTCTGGCGATGGAGCCGCGCAGCATCATGCATCGTGGGCAGATGTTGATGAGGGGATTGATGTGGGACTGACACAAAAAAGAATAAGTTATTCTCATAATTCCATGGAACGTGACGGAGCCAAGAGATCCAGACATAGCAACAAATCAGATGACAGTGTAGAGGATGAATGTTACATGACTGCCATTCAACTGTCATGTGATACTTTGTCCGCTCAAGTGGGTGACGAGTCACGATGTATGCAGGAGACGGCAACCGGTAAATGAGGGAACTTAAACACAAACGTTTTTGTAAGAATTGTCAAGAGTTACAGATTATTGTACAGAGAATCTAAAGATTTGAAGCATCATTACTATTTACTGCCTTCCCAAATAACTCACCTAAAGTGTGGACTAGTTAGTAATTAAGGAAGTCAGTGTGCAGATCCCACAAAAATAATAGGCAAACTTAAACTTTCAATATCTTAATTGCAATGCATAAATTGTCCCTTGTTAATGTACCCCACTGCAGAATACAATTATATCAGCATTATTCAAAAATAGCACATAGATCAGTCACGTGGCCAAAAAACATAAAGATGGCGGAGTACGCAGTGTGAGTATTTCATTAGTGAAACAATATCACACTTAAGTAATCTACAGGAAAATTGGTGAGATCCTTTAATTTGAACATTTTATTGATTTGTAATATTTACATAACTGGGATGTTTCTTTAAAATGTCAGTTTTATTTGGTGGCAGAATTCCCCAGTAATCATCCTTGTTAGAGGGTTGGCCACGCTGATCATGTTCTCCATTCCTATGGAACACAATGTTTATTCCCCCTCTTTCCAGTGATACTGAACCATCCCCACGTGAAACCGACCCGGATACGAGATGTACTCACACACACTGTCCCTTTCAAGTTCCGTGTGAAGGCTCGGGTTGTGGACTGCCAGCCCACACCAACCACAGCCAGAGACCTGGTCAGCGTATACTGCAGTTCTTGTCATTTCATGTGGGTTTTATGTTGAAACATTAATGAATACTGAGTTACCAAAAGCGCATTATTCACTTATGTTGACTTATCTCAAGAAGGATGTGTGTCTTGATTGGCTCCGGTAGCTTAGTGGTTAAAGCGTTCAATCATCACGCTGAAGACCCGGGTTCGATTCCACACATGGGTACTATGTGTGAGACCCACACATATAACTTTGATGTGTATATTGGCTCAATGTCAAAGGTTCTCCAGATAATTTTGGAACCTTTATGCCCTCCTTGTGTTGCTATAGAATACCGTTTTGTGTCTAGAGCTAATGTTGTTCAGTTAACTGCGTAAATTTAAATTTCAGGTACCTGTATGTCTAGAAACCATGATACCAAAATAGAAAAACTATATATATAACAACTGAAATGATTATCTGGATATGGGAAGCTAAAACATTTGCAGTAAAATAATTTAATGGAAACCACTTAAAAATGAATCATCATATTTAAATATAGAGCATTTGCATAGGGCAAAGTGACCTACATTAATCTCTTTATGAATCAGCTTTTAAAAAATTATATCATCTGGGATAATGTGGTCTAATAAGCTCACAAATTCAGATAAATTCTGATTTTGTTACTGCTTTCAGTTGTACGCAAACTGAAAAGGCGACATAGGGTAATGAATTCAACTGCGTTCTCGTACTCTGGTAATGGTGACTTGTTTTATATATCCTACACTAAAACACATCTGGAGCTCTGAACACTTCTGATACAATGGAGACTGATTTCTCATTGTTCAGTGGTATATTTTCGCCATCAGTGAAGGAGTTTGTCAGACAGACGGGTGGTTTCTGTCAACACAGGTGCCGTGTGGCTGAGTACGAGGCAGAGATGAGGGACAGGATTGGAGATGAAAGCTGCAGTGACGGCGGGCAGGACAGGTCAGTGGGTTACACAGGATGACTTAACATGGCTGGTCAGGTGACATGTGGCCCTTCCCTTGACTCTGTACATCTGTATCTTGGGGTCTGTCAGTTAACTGTCCTTACCCTGGTACTGTACTAAAGCAGGATCAGGATGCCTCGTGTCAGATACTCAGATCTTATCCATGGAATCACTGGACTGTCATATGATTGTATTACTGAGGCATGAAACAAGAAACAAAGAAACCAGGTATGTTAGGAAACATTACTTGATTCATTACAGCCTTATCCTTATCCTTGTCTGAAATGTAAAAGCAGGATTCATTTTTCAGTACCTGAAGGTTCTGGTCAAAGATATTTACCACTTTGGTGAAGTCTACAGGCATGGGTATGGTTCTAACAGGCCTTAATCGGGCAGCCCAAGGGATTTACTTGGTGATGTGTCCATGTCTGAACTCATTGTATTGCATTGTTTCTGTATTTCATGGGTTGTTCCTGAGCAGATGCTCTCTGGGATGGTTGGATGTAGTTTAGCAGATGCTCTCTGGGATGGTTGGATGTAGTTTAGCAGATGCTCTCTGGGATGGTTGGATGTAGTTTAGCAGATGCTCTCTGGGATGGTTGGATGTAGTTTAGCAGATGCTCTCTGGGATGGTTGGATGTAGTTTAGCAGATGCTCTCTGGGATGGTTGGATGTAGTTAAGCAGATGATTTGATATGGTGTTCTTTCCAGGTCACTGAATCTGGAGATGGATAATAACAGAATGTGTCCTCGATGTACTGAAAAATCAGGTAAGCATGGTAGCAATGCTTTGATAGTAATATACTAATATATGTATGACACGCTAAACTGCCTGGTGATCCAAGCATACTTGTATTTATAGAGCTGATCTCAGTAGTGGGTAACTCCTCACAGATTCAGTTACTGGTATTTCTGGCCCCTGGATACTTCGAACCTGCCCTTGTATGAAGTATAATCATGAGGGACAAGCTGTGATGTCACTATCATAGATCAGTGTAAAATATTCTCATTCTGTAGTGAAAGGTACCTTCCAAATATTCACCTCTCTCATTTGAGCCTGATTCGAGGGACACTTTGTTAATAATAGCTGTCCAATTGGATGGCTCTCAAGAACGAGATGAATCATTCAGTGCTGTTTGTGCAAGGTGTGATGGAAGTATGAAACAAAGCAGTTGTGTTGCTTTTGATACTACCAGTGTTGAATCTTTTTGTGGAATTCTCAGATGATCTTGTGGGTGACCTTGAACTGACATACGTGCTGCGCCTACTGCTGCATGATGGGAGTGGATGGTTGGTGGCAAATCTATGGCGGGGAGAGGCAGTAAGTAGAGGACCATTTTGTCCTATGTATATATATACATGATTGTTATAGATAATTGTCAAAGTCAAACTTGTACAAAACAGACCTATTAAGTAACAGTAAAGGTGAGCTTCTGTACCTGTAGTTCTTGTTTCATCCAGTTCTGATATGATTGTACACCATCATCTAAGGGACGTTATTTCTATTCCAGACAAAGTTCTTGAAGGACATTCCACCAGAAGAAGTGCTGAGTCAACCAGCAACCTTCACAGAGGTCAAGGATGCTTTGAGCCAGATTTGTCCAGCAGAGGTCCCCATTGGTGACAAGCCATGGGTTGAATGTTGTATTGCCGCCTACACAGGCAGCAGCAGTGTAAACTACCACATCTTTGACACAGTAGTAGTATGACAGGTCAAGGTCAATCCATTTGGACCATGTACCTGTGTGGGGAAAGGCTGTGATGTCACTGAAACCTACCAAATATACCCAGGCTGGAAATGCTGACATAACGCCTTAGTGCTCGGAGCACTAAACAGCATACACAGGCTGGAATTATATCTGAGAGTTCAAGGTGTGTTGACTTAATGCCTTATTGCTTGGAATAGAATTCTTGTACATTGCTATAGACTATGCAGTGTCAGGAACCAGTATCAGACTGGAGATCAAGATGTGTTGACAGTGCCCTCTCTTTGACCTTGGTATGTTTATTCAAGGGAGCAGTCCCTGATCCCAGTATGTATCTTTGAGATGATATAAACGATATCATCCATTTTAATAAATGAGAGTAAGCCATTTGGGTTGATTTTGTTTGTTTGCTTCTTCAAGGTTACTCATGATTACTCTGTAAATATAGAATCTTAGTGATGCAGCACTATATTAGGTCACCTGGATAACTTCAAGCTGTTCATTTGCACAACTCTATGTAAAACCAACAGTATTGCCTCTTCACACTGCAATATTCAAGCTCTGTGATATTGGCTGGACCTGGGGGGCAATGTTATAAGCATCATGTCACTCCGTTGGAGTTAATCCATGGGGGTGAGCAAGACTGCAGAGGAAGATGTTGTAAGAGTTTTCTGATATTGTAGAAGGTGCAACATCCCGCCTCCTAACCATGAGAATCAAGGAACATCAGACATCTGTGCAGATTAAAAGACACTATATCAGCCATTTCTGACAACAGTCAAGCCTATTCTAATCATAACATCCTTAGGAAAAACATCAACATCCTTGAAGCCAATCAGTCTGGCAACAAGGTCAGAAAACGCTTCGAGGCAATCAACATAAACGACTCAACCCGAACATTAACAGACAAAAAGATTATTACATCCACACAGCTTACAATCATCTAATGGAGGCCAATCAACGGTAACCTTCTTCCCTTTGTCATCTGACTTCATTGCCATTATCTATAAACACGACACTATTAGTAATGTGGACATCAACCTCTCCAAATATCCTTCTATTCTCCTTGTGCAGTGTATCACTTGCTTGATAACAGTGGTATCTATAGCATCTACATCAAGACGTACCATCTGGTGCAGCAAAGAAGTTATCAATCCATAAAATTTGTTCGTCTTTAACATTCCAACTTGGTATTGCCACTCGATGGCTGCAGATCTGTGCTTTATATGCACTAGTGGTGGTCCGATATAATTGAAATAATGGAAGATTGCTCGTAGTGACTAAACGACCAAGCAATCGAACATGTTTTCTCATAATCGAACATGACCAATCTTGGAACACTTGTTTGCATTAACATTATCTTTCACAAAGCTGGTTTTGTCTGTCATTAAATTTACATTTCATAAGCACTACATGTACAAGCTCGTTCCAAGTCATGATTGAATTTATCTTCCAGAATCCAGGAAATATGTGTTCCTAACATACTAATCATCATTTAAATATGCAAAATTTGCAAATGGACTTTATGCAATTTGAAAAAAAACCCAAATTACTACGTTTTTTCTCTTTTTTTTGTGCATTAACAAAAATAACAGGAACATTTGATAAATGACGCTAACCAATTATTTTCGATGATTGATCGGTTGTAATGGACCAATCATCAATTATTAGATTTTAACCAATTCCCAACACTAGTAATATGCACCCATGGCCGTCTTTACGTATGTGTACGCTGGACAGGTAAATAAATGCTATAATTTACAAAGAAATATAAATATTTCTTTCTGGAAAATGCTTGCTAAGCATATTTGTTAGAAGTACCAATAAATATATGTTTGATTTTGAACGAAGTTTTACATTTGTATTCTTGTGAGTAATTGTGCTGGAAGGGACACGAGTGCCGATACTGCTATAAAGAGGGCTTTGTTGATACCTCGGGTTAGGCACTGGTGCAGGAGTGAGTGAATATGGTTTTACGCCGCTTTTAGACATAGTCCGCAATATCAGGGCGGGGAACATCAGAAGTTGGCTTCACAAGTTGAACCCATGTGGGGAATCGACCCCGGGTCTCCGGCGTGACGAGCGAACGCTTTAACCACTAGGCTACCCCTCCGTCTCCACTGGTGCAGGAACCTGTGAGGCTAGTGTCAGGGACGGTGCGTTCAAACTGAAACTGTTATCAAGCTGAGACTCTCTTCTGGAACTTTTGGAGGATACATGAACAAGTGAGTTGAGCTTGACGCCGCTTTAAATAAGAGGATATAGATATCGACTAGTGTCCGCCATAAGAGGGGGCAGCCTGTAGACCTGCTAGTCCAAGAGCCCGGGGTGATTTTTGTACTGCGAGAGGCCAAAAGGTTTGAACATGTATTCTGATGTAAAATTTCGTCACGAATCCAAATATTTCAGTCTTACAATTCAAAGTTGTGGCTTCAGCCTACAAATGGGGCGCTGAAGCGATGACAGCATTATTTTCAGGTAAACTGCTGCATGCTTTCAAATGACATTTCTCTCAACTACAAATATTCAGTATTTGACCCAGAGTGGTTGCAATGTGAAGAATAAAGATACATGTGTAATTTCTCAAATAAAATGTTTAAAGAGTAGTATATGCAGAGCAATTACATATTGTTTTTCTTCTTAGATTTACGAATTTTTGTCATTCTACAAGTTCAGTTCAGTGTAATTAAACGAAAATGTAGTATAATGCGGTACTAAAGGCTTATAAATATGTAAAAATGTGTAAGGAATACATATACATCTATATCAATAAAATACATATGCTGCTCAAGGCACATTTTTTTATTGATATATTTGTATTCCTTACACATTTTTACATATTTATAAGCCTTTAGTACCGTTTAAAATTACATTTTCGTTTGGATTCGTGACGCAATTTTACATCAGAATATATATTCAAACCGTTTGGCCTCTCTCGGTACAAAAATCACCCCCGGGCTCTTGGACTAGCAGGTCTTGCACCATTTTGGTCACACCCACGAGCACTTAATCCGAACGAAGCGACTATTTGAAGCCTGTGACTGGATTTGTTTATGGGGTCATATAACAACTTGTTTCTTCTTAAAAGTAAAAAATTCAATTGCCGTCTGTTGTGAAACTGGTCGTTTTCTATGGCTGCATTGGGACAACTGTTGTTGTTGTTTTTTATCTTCTTGAAGGCAAACAAATAAAATATGTTCCGACTGCGGATAATATGATTCAAGAACGTCCCACGTGATTTCTCACTTGCTGGCATTTTTCAATTATTTAAGTAACTACAATTGATTTTTAAGCTCTGGACAATTAACATATATGTATACATTATTTCATAGCTGAGTACTTGGTTATGATCCAAAGATTAAGGAAGACTACCTTCAAAATTCTCGGACATACTGAAGACAAGGTGGCTAAGCATTAGTGCCACTCAAACTGTAGTTCAAATCACACGCGGCCTGAAGTGACTGAAGGCGACGTGTGACAAAACAGCCTCACGGAAGCACCTTTTGAGATGTTCCCCGATTGCTGAAGCGTGACGTACCCAACCGAGACGAACGCCATTTGAAATGTCGATAGTGTAAATAACGTTTTTTCTGGATTTAGAGGGCACGCTGCGTCAAACACAAGCAGCATGGCGCGGCCAAGGTGATGTACCGTCAGGCCACCTTTTAATCCAGGTAGGCAGATATTCTGTATAAACCCCATCTGATTTATATACATTTGGCTCGCTCGATCTGTGATATTCCCACGGTGGGATACACAGTCACACCTGTGTTGAGAGATCACACGGTGTCGGTTGACCGCTTCATTACATTCCAGGCAACGTTGATGACTTGGTTCAGGAAAGTCTGATGTCGGGGATAGTAGGAAGTAGGTATATGCCAAAGTGTTATGTCACTGAACTATATCGAGGATATGAGCAATCGTGACATGCAGATTTACATTAAAATTACCAAATAGAATTGTTTATTTAAACAATTGAATAGATTGTCATACTGGTTCAAAATATTTTATGTGAAAAACGTTTGTGAGAACCAATACAGGTTAGTTTTTCTAATGTCAGGAGCTTGTTCCATGTCTGGTCTCACTGTAACCCAAGAGCAATGCCCTCACTCAGAGGCAAGTGCGCCTGTTGTAGTTACCTATTCGTCCGTGTCAAGATAGTTTTAGGTGGCCAGCCCACAACTGAGCGTACACCTCGAAGCTGTGAGAGTCGATCTTTCATCAGTGACTAATGCATAGGTATAACCAGTCGTGAAAAGGAAAATACGCGTTGACAGTATTTAAGAATATGTGTGTCCTAAAATCGATACGTCTATGGAGATAAGTAGTTCCGGGTACGCCTAGTGTCGCGGGATCATTTCAAATGAACTTTGATCATTTGTCAGCATTCTCTATACAAAGAGCAACGCTGTATATAATAGCTTGTAATGAAATATTTCAATGTCGAAGTTAACACCCATCTGAACATTGTGCTGATAAGTTGCTGATTGAACATTACCAACATTTGAAGGGATTTCTTTATAAAGGACTGTATACAGATGCCAGTATACCCGTGATAAATAAGCCTCAGGCACTGTGTCGGAACTGAAAGCAACACTCTTATGACATAAGGTCCTACCGTCCTTAAAACCGGAGAGGGAACAATGCACCAAAGTCCTGAATGTCAAGGACATCTGACGCAATGAATCTTAGTCGTGGGTACTAATCCCAAATTATCTTAGTAAGCTAGTGCTGTGGCATCTATATCGGCCATCGTTTGTTTGGTAATCCAAGTAAATATGGCCTTCATAACATCCGCTGTGTAAGGGTCGTCCGGCTGGTCACAGTGTAGTGTTAGTATGTATGTATGTATATATATCCGTTGGACATCAAAGAAGAAAACTGAGCAGCGTCGACTGCGTCCACCCTGACAGGGTAGTTCGTTGTTCACCCTATTGACCGCTTCCACCCTGACAGGGTAGTTCGTTGTTCACCCTATTGACCGCTTCCACCCTGACAGGGTAGTTTGTTGTTCACCCTATACACCGCTTCCACCCTGACAGGGTAGTTCGTTGTTCACCCTATACTCCGCTTCCACCCTGACAGGGTAGTTCGTTGTTCACCCTATTGACCGCTTCCACCCTGACAGGGTAGTTTGTTGTTCACCCTATACACCGCTTCCACCCTGACAGGGTAGTTCGTTGTTCACCCTATTTACCGCTTCCACCCTGACAGGGTAGTTCGTTGTTCACCCTATTGACCGCTTCCACCCTGACAGGGTAGTTCGTTGTTCACCCTATACTCCGCTTCCACCCTGACAGGGTAGTTCGTTGTTCACCCTATTGACCACTTCCACCCTGACAGGGTAGTTTGTTGTTCACCCTATACACCGCTTCCACCCTGACAGGGTAGTTCGTTGTTCACCCTATTGACCGCTTCCACCCTGACAGGGTAGTTCGTTGTTCACCCCTATATTGACCAGCTTCCCCACCCTGACAGGGTAGTTCGTTGTTCACCCTATACACCGCGTCCACCCTGACAGGGTAGTTCGTTGTTCACCCCATTGACCGCTTCCACCCTGACAGGGTAGTTCGTTTTCCACCCTAATGACCGCTTCCACCCTGACAGGGTAGTTCGTTGTTCACCCTATTGACCACTTCCACCCTGACAGGGTAGTTCGTTGTTCACCCTATACTCCGCTTCCACCCTGACAGGGTAGTTCGTTGTTCACCCTATTGACCACTTCCACCCTGACAGGGTAGTTCGTTGTTCACCCTATACTCCCCTTCCACCCTGACAGGGTAGTTTGTTGTTCACCCTATACACCGCTTCCACCTTGACAGGGTAGTTCGTTGTTCACCAATTTACCGCTTCCACCCTGACAGGGTAGTTTGTTGTTCACCCTACACACCGCTTCCACCCTGACAGGGTAGTTTGTTGTTCACCCTATACACCGCTTCCACCCTGACAGGGTAGTTTGTTGTTCACCCTATACACCGCTTCCACCCTGACAGGGTAGTTTGTTGTTCACCCTATACACCGCTTCCACCCTGACAGGGTAGTTCGTTGTTCACCCTATTAGCTGCTTCCACCCTGACATGTTAGTTCGTTGTTCACCCTATTGACCGCTTCCACCCTGACAGGGTAGTTTGTTGTTCACCCTATACACCGCTTCCACCCTGACAGGGTAGTTCGTTGTTCACCCTATTAGCTGCTTCCACGCTGACATGGTAGTTCGTTGTTCACCCTATTGACCGCTTCCACCCTGACAGGGTAGTTTGTTGTTCACCCTATACACCGCTTCCACCCTGACAGGGTAGTTCGTTTTCCACCCTATTGACCGCTTCCACCCTGACAGGGTAGTTCGTTGTTCACCCTATTGACCACTTCCAACCTGACAGGGTAGTTCGTTGTTCACCCTATACTCCCCTTCCACCCTGACAGGGTAGTTTGTTGTTCACCCTATACACCGCTTCCACCCTGACAGGGTAGTTTGTTGTTCACCCTATACACCGCTTCCACCCTGACAGGGTAGTTCGTTGTTCACCCTATTAGCTGCTTCCACCCTGACATGGTAGTTCGTTGTTCACCCTATTGACCGCTTCCACCCTTACAGGGTAGTTTGTTGTTCACCCTATACACCGCCTTCACACCTGACAGGGTAGTTCGTTGTTCACCCTATTTACCGCCCCACCCTGACAGGGTAGTTTGTTGTTCACCCTATACACCGCTTCCACCCTGACAAGGTAGTTCGTTGTTCACCCTAATAGCTGCTTCCACCCTCACATGGTAGTTCGTTGTTCACCCTATTGACCGCTTCCACCCTGACAGGGCAATTTGTTGTTCACCCTATACACCGCTTCCACCCTGACAGGGTAGTTCGTTGTTCACCCTATACACCGCGTCCACCCTGACAGGGCAGTTCGTTGTTCACCCTATTGACCGCTTCCACCCTGACAGGGTAGCTCGTTGTTCACCCTATACTCCACTTCCACCCTGACAGGGCAGTTCGTTGTTCACCCTATTGACCGCTTCCACCCTGACGGGTAGTTCGACCACTTCACGCTGACACAGGGTAGTAGTTCGTTGTTCACCCTATTGACCGCTTCCACCCTGACATGGTAGTTCGTTGTTCACCCTATTGACCGCTTTCACCCTGACAGGCTGAGGTAGTTCGACCATTTCCACCCTGACATGGTAGTTCGTTGTTCACCCTATTGACCGCTTCCACCCTGACATGGTAGTTGGTTGTTCACCCTATTGACCGCTTCCACCCTGACATGGTAGTTCGTTGTTCACCCTATTGACCGCTTCCACCCTGACAAGGTAGTTCGTTGTTCACCCTATTAGCTGCTTCCACCCTGACAGGGTAGTTTGTTGTTCACCCTATACACCGCTTCCACCCTGACAGGGTAGTTCGTTTTCCACCCTATTGACCGCGTCCACCCTGACAGGGCAGTTCGTTTTCCACGCTATTGACCGCTTCCACCCTGACAGGGCAGTTCGTTGTTCACCCTATACTCCGCTTCCACCCTGACAGGGTAGTTCGTTGTTCACCCTATACACCGCGTCCACCCTGACAGGGCGCGTTCGTTTCCAACCTATATTGACCGCTTCCCACCCTGACAGGGTAGTTCGACCACTTCCACCCTGACAAGGTAGTTCGTTGTTCACCCTATTGACCGCTTCCACCCTGACAGGGCAGTTCGTTGTTCACCCTATACACCGCTTCCACCCTGTCAGGGCAGTTCGTTGTTCACCCTATTAGCCGCTTCCCACCCTGACATGGTGGTAGTTCGTTGTTCACCCTATTGACCGCTTCCACCCTGACAGGGTAGTTTGTTGTTCACCCTATACACCGCTTCCACCCTGGACAGGGTAGTTCGTTTTCACCCTATTGACCGCTTCCACCCTGACAGGGTAGTTCGTTGTTCACCCTATTGACCACTTCCACCCTGGACAGGGTAGTTCGTTGTTCACCCCTATACCCGCTTCCACCCCTGACAGGGTAGTTTGTTGTTCACCCTATACACTGCTTCCACCCCTGACAGGGTAGTTTGTTGTTCACCCTATACAGCTTCCACCCTGACAGGGTAGTTTGCTGTTCACACCCATATTAACCGCTTTCCACCCCGACAGGGTAGTTTGTTGTTCACCCTATACACCGCTTCCACCCTGACAGGGTAGTTTGTTGTTCACCCTATACACCGCTTCCACCCTGACAGGGTAGTTCGTTGTTCACCCTATTTACTGCTTCCACCCTGACAGGGTAGTTTGTTGTTCACCCTATACACCGCTTCCACCCTGACAGGGTAGTTCGTTGTTCACCCTATTAGCTGCTTCCACCCTGACATGGTAGTTCGTTGTTCACCCTATTGACCGCTTCCACCCTGACAGGGTAGTTTGTTGTTCACCCTATACACCGCTTCCACCCTGACAGGGTAGTTCGTTTTCCACCCTATTGACCGCTTCCACCCTGACAGGGTAGTTCGTTGTTCGACCTATTGACCACTTTCACCCTGACAGGGTAGTTCGTTGTTCACCCTATACTCCCCTTCCACCCTGACAGGGTAGTTTGTTGTTCACCCTATACACCGCTTCCACCCTGACAGGGTAGTTTGTTGTTCACCCTATACACCGCTTCCACCCTGACAGGGTAGTTCGTTGTTCACCCTATTAGCTGCTTCCACCCTGA